TCCCCCCCCCCCCCTCCCACACACACACACTCCCCACTAGGGCACAGTTAAAGACCCTTCTACTTTTCTTTTTCTTGAGAAGGTAGGAGAGAAGAGCATGTAAAACTACTGTAATTAGGATATTGCGTTTATGTTGCTGCACGCCTCAGATCAGTGCTTGAAATTATTTAAATGTTATTTAGAAGGGGGAAGATGAGGGCTGATTAATCTAGTGGTTTTCAGTCTTTGGAATTTTGAAAAACTTTCAACTAATGCATTGTCCTTTAACTTTTCCCCATCGTCAGATATGATTTGAGCTGATGTTTTATTTTATTGTGGGACACAGTGGGGGTTGAAACAGTAAAAAGGCATTTACCTACTTATATGACACATTTTCAAACAAAATAGGTGAACAGGCCCTTCATGAGTATTATAATATTACATCTGTTAAGGAAAATAAAAATTTGGCAGATATTTCATTCGAATATATGGTATTCTAGTGTGAGAAAAGACTTACATGAAGGTAGAAAATGATGCCTTTATTTGTGTTTACTTCATTCTTTCTCAGAACAACGGTGCTGTGGTTTGCACGGTGAATGAAGGAAGCAACGACCAGTCCCTGAGAGAAGATTACACACCACAGTACCTGCTGGGCCAAGAGGTATGGTTATAAGAACTCTTGAGAAATTTGTGTTAAAGAAATATGACATGGTTTTTTTTCTCATAGATTACAAATGTCATGGAATCAAGCCTGGTCTTTATTTATAGTAGTCTGCCTGTCTCGTCAGTCAAAGTCTGCCTTGTTATTTCACAGTATTGACAGTTTTGTTGGTGTGATTTTTTAAAATGTTATCTTTCTCTGAATCTTTCTATGGGACAATGAAACTTTGGTTTTAAAATTATGAATAATAATAATAATAGATGACATTTATATAGCGCTCAACCCCGATTAAAGTGCACAGGCTCTGAGCTCTTTACAATACAGTACAAAGTACAACAGTAACATAGAACGTTGTGTTCTGACTAAAAGAAAATTGCTCCAAATATTCATCTTATTAATTTAAAAACAGAAACGACTTCAGCTGACTTTTGAATGAATCAAAAGATCTGATCTCTCCTAAAGTACTTGCTAAAGCATTCCAGATCTTTGGGCCTTAGTGTTCAAATTCCCTTTCCCACATTGTTTTAAGTTTCATAGATGGTAAAATAAATTTCTTTTTGCCAGCAGATGACCTTAAACTGTGAGTTGGAATGTACAGTCTTAACAGATTTGATAAATATGATGGTGCATTATCATTCCAACATTTGTGACTTAGGGTGGCCAACTTGTACACAATTCTTTTCTCAACAGAAAGCCAGTGCAATGTTCATAAAGAGGTTTAGCAGAGTCTCGCTTTTTTTTCCGTAAAACTAAACATGCAGCATTGTTTTGGACAGTTTGAAGTCTTTTAACTTT